GGTAGGTGCCCAGTGTGTATTATGGGATGAGTGGAGCCACTGGTTACTGATCTCTTCATCGTATGGGTCCATCTCCTCCATCTTAAGGAGATTGGCCTCTTTTTTCATATCACGAAGTGCTTCATGATTTACAGTGCCACTTCCCACCTGCTGTTGTATTGAATACAGCTACAAGATATGTTCCTGTTGTTGTTAATTCCCATTGAGTCAGCCTGTCTCAACTGACCCCTGAACAATAGAATGAAGAGTTGCCTGGTCCTGTGCCATCTTGGCAATTGTTGGTATGCTCGAGTACATTGTAGCCACTGTGTGTTTTGAGTGCATTCCAACCTGAGAAGGAACTCTGGTGGCACAGTGGTTAAGGCATTTGGCTGCTAATCAAGAAGTCAGCGCTTTGAACCCAGCCACTCCATGGCAGAAAGTTGAGGCAGTCTGCTTGTATAAAGATTGATAGCCTTAGAAACCCTATGGTGCAGTTCTGCTCTGTCCTATAGGGTCACTATGAGTTGGAATTGACTCGATAGCAGTAGGTTTGGTTTGGTCCAACCTAGGGGGTCACCTTCACCTTTCAGCACTTTATTGGCCCCTACAATATCCAACTTAGTCCAGTCTGGGCAAATAGTACCAGCTACTGTCCTTGCCACTCTGCCTAGGGCTTTGGGGCTAGTTGGAAGAGAAGAGCTGGCCGTAGCCCCAAAGATGCCCCCCCTCACTGTATTTCAGTCCCCCCTGTAGGTCTTCATTGGTATGAGTTTCCCTGCCTTGCAGCCCTGCAGAGTCATGGTGAGGATTGAAGAAAACGGTGCTTGTGGAGCTCACTGCCGTCGAGTCGAATCCGACTCGTAGCAACTCCTCCTTGGGTTTCTGAGGCAGTATCTCTATGGAAGTAGATTGCCCAGTCTTCCTTCCGAGGAGTGGTTGGCAGCTTTGAACCACCAGTGTTCTGGTTAGCAGTCAAATGCCTTAGACACTATGCTACCACAGCTCCTGCTTGTGGAACAGGAGGGTTTAAGAGATGAGAGCTGCTGTTTTTCCTCCAGAGATAGTCAGTCTCAGCTGGTGGATGAGGTGTGGTGCTGCCTGAGTCAGGGAAAGGTGAAATGCCCACTTTCAGTGCCACAAAAGCCTCTGAGGCCAGAGGGAGCCTGATTGTTCTCCACACACCCCCCAACCAGGAACCCCTGGAAAGGGTGCTGCTGCCTCTACCATTTGTGGGCAGAGTGCCTCAGACCCCACCCAGGTTTGGGGAAGGCTTAGCTGTTCTAGATCCAGAGGCCTCAGAGTGACCTGGCATCATCCACACAGCCCGCCATGGTCTGGACCCCACCTTGCACCCAGCCTCACAGGTAAGGGCCAGGCTACCTGAGTTTGAGTGCTAACATCACCACTCATGATCTGTGTGGCTTTGGACAAGTCGTTACCCCTCTGAGCCTCAGCTTTTCTCCATTCGATGGAGGTGACAGCAATGCCTGCCCCCCTGGGTGCCGCATGGATTTGGTGAGCACACGCTGCAAGTGCTTTCAGTGGTTCCAGGCACTTGGGTGCCTGACATGTCCCAGCCATCCTGGTCTTTGCTTTCCTGGGTATCAGGTTCCCATCTCTTGCCCCTGAGCTTTTGTTGTTCCCTGGGGCTGAAACATTCTCTCCACTTCCTTTTGCTGCCTCACCTCTGCTGCCAGCAGACCTCAGGGAGTTCCCCTTCTCTGTTCCTCGTGCTCCACCTGGTGCTAGCTAGCGATAGCCAGCACTGCTGGCAGGTTCTTGTGGAGCTCCAGCCAGTGGTTTACCTGCCTCACCACCATCTGGGAGACGGTGCACTTGTTGTTATCACCCCAAGGGGATGTGCGTTCCGGGAGACTGTCTTCTGCCCAAGGTCACATGTCTGTAAAGGAGCGGAGCCAGGCTTCGAGTCCAGGCAGTTTTGCACTAAGTCTCAACCTGCCTTAGCCCTGTGGTTAACACTGCCTTATCCTGCCGCCTCTGAAAGTGCCCCACTTCATTGTACAGCCTCTACGTGTCCAATATTTGTCATCTGTCCCTCCATTAGGATTCCTGGTGGCACAATGGTTAAAGTGTCCAGCTGTGAGAGGAAGATGTGGCAGTCTGTTCCCATATAGATTTACAACCTTGGAAGCCCTGTGGGACGGGTCTGCTCTGTCTTACTGGGTTGCTGTGAGTCAGAATTGACTCAAAGGCAGTAGTGGGTTTTTGCTGGTCTGTCGCTCTCCAGGGTTGTGTCTGGGAATCTCCAGGCCTGACATGGAACAGGCCTTAGTGACCTAGTGCTTCCATAGCAGAAATTCCACAAGAGGGTGGCTTTAAAGAACAGAAATCTATTCCCTCCCAGTTCTGGGAGCTAAAAGTCCAAATTCAGGACATGACCCTGGGAAGCTGCCTCGTTGTCAGTGCCCTGGGAGTTCTGTGGTGTCTGTCTCCTCCCTTTGAGTGTCTTTGTTACAGCACAGAAGTGATTAGGATCAGGATCAACGCTGGTGTGACCTGTAACAACAAAAGAAAAGCCCTCATTTCTAGACAGGGTCATGTTTACAGGTACAGGGATTAGCATCTCAACACTTACTTTTGGGGGACACAGTTCAATCCATAACCAATCAGATAATCAGTATCTACCTGGTACCTGGTTGACAACCAAACCAAGAAACGAAACTCACTGCCATCAAGTCAGATCTGACTCATAGCGACCCCTCTGTGGGTTTCCCAAGGCAGTATCACTATGGAAGTAGATCGTCCAGTCTTCCTTCTGAGGAATGGCTGGTGAGTGTGAACCACCACCTTTCTGATCAGCAGTCAAATGCCTTAGGCACTACGCCACCATTTGCTGGCTCTTTGTGTTTATTGAGTGTTCACTATGTGGCAGGTCCTGGGGTAAGCACTTTACATGAATCAATCCCTTCAGTCCTCATGACAACTCTTTAAGATAAGTACATGGCACCCCCAGTGTACACATGAGGAAACCGAGGCTCAGAGAGGTTTAGTTACCTGCTAAAGGTTATACAGCCAGGAATCAATGGTGTGGTCACAGCCATCCCCTTAACTGTGGTGTCATGGTGAGTGAATGAATGAGGGGCCACTCCACTGCCTGCTGGACTATCCAGAGAGGCCTCTCTGTGCCTTCTTGTGTGGTGTGTCATTGGCTTCAAGACTTTGTGTAAAGCTATGCAGCCTGTGTCAGTGTGAATCACTGGACAGCAGGACAACCCCCCCCCACACACACACACCCAAACCAAAAAAAAGTAGGTGGAGCCACATCCTTCCTCTGCAGGTATTCTACTCCTGTAATGGACAGTTTCTTGGGACCAGGTACTTCACCGAGCCCTTCCCCTCAATATGTGTCCCATTGACTCAACACAACAACCCTGGGGAAGATACTGTTCTCATTGCTAAAGGTCTAGAAAAGAAGGTGTGGTAGTTGGAGCTGTGTGTCAACTTGGCTAGACTAAAATTCTGTGTGATTTAAGCAATTGTGATGTGGGTTATTCCCATGATGGGATCAGATGTATATGTTTTAGGCAGCCAATCCGTTGAA